ATCGAGGGTCGTGTATGCACAATTTCCACGTTTAACGTGATACACCCTGTACAATCAGCTGTACTCTGGCATTTGTACTCGGCAAAAGAAGATTCGGTCGGGAACAAATACCGTTTAATGCTTTCAAGCGCACTAGTCTCGGAGCTTTGACTTTTAGATACGCGAGAGCACAAGTGGGATTAAATCTCTGTCGATAATCGGAGCCTGTAATAGTGGAAAATGCAGAGAGCCGTGTATTTCTATCAGAGTGCATGTTTCATATTGTTTAAAAGTGATAAAAAGATTTTTATTATTAATTATGAATATAATATTATGTTTATTAAATTTCTAATATAAACTAAATGCCTAATTAAAATATATCAAGCAGGAAACACCTGGAAAAAAGAAATTGAAGTGTCTGTTAAACGTTTCTATTACGATGTCTATTAGAGATTTGTTTGGCTTCCTCTGATAAATAAAAGAGTATTGGTAGGTAAAGAGAGTATGGAATTGAATTGAATTGGCAATTTAAAAGGTGAACAACTAAAACAGAATTAAAAGAAAAAACTATGAAAAAAACATCGCTTTGTTATAAGATGCAAGAGAGTTTTAAATAATAATTTTTAATAATCTTTAAACTTAAAATTTTGAGCAGCTTTTAAATGTAAGTAATAGTATAAATTTATGTCAAAATATTAATAATTTTTAAATTTATATCGCAAACCATCCCGATAATTTTTCATTACAGAAAAGCTTTAAATAAGATAAAAAAATGAGATAAGTGTATCAAATAAGATAAAATTAATATTGTGAATTAGTGGTACATTTAATTTTTTCTATTTAAATTAAATTCTTTCTTAATAAATTAGCAAATAAACGTCCTTTCATCAAAAGTAAATACCACTTATAAAAGAAACTTTATCTTTACTCTTTATTGATTTATTGTCATTCACAATTTAAAAATGTTAATTTACACAATTTTTTTATAAAGACAAAGCATAATGCGGAATGCAGATAAATTTTTCGGCGGACAGAATTTTTCTGCAATGGATCAAGCATTTTGGAGTTATAGTACTCTTTAACGATATTATTATATTTTCAACTCAAGCTTTAGCATTTGTATAAAGACTTTAATGGCAGATAGACTTCTTAGAAGTCTCGGTCTTGGCATTCGAGCTTTGTGAGGAGAACAAAGGATAAATGCATATCGGGTAATGTTCCCGAAACGGCATTCTTCAAATTCTAAATAAATTTATCCGACCTGCTATTCTTGTTTTGCGTACTTTATTATTTATTTATATGCACGCGCGCGCGCGCGCGCGTGTGTGCACGTGTGCGCGAATGTACGTATGTATGTATGATATATTCTTACAAATCTGCAGAAAATTGCTAATTGCAAATATCGAGCTAAAAACTACACGCGTGTAATGTTACCGTAGCAAGTGGTATATTGATTACACGTAATCGATAGTAAGGTACTCGTTAGTGGAAATAAGCGAGAAATAATGAATTGGATGCAAGCTCGTTAATTCTCTATTATCGACATCGCCTCGTCACAAATAACTGCCTTCCCTTCGTGACAGCAAATGGGTTCGGTGCTCTCCAAACCAGTGGATGTCCAAAGAGCCGTATTACACGATTTCATATATACAGCCACCTGTGGAAAAGCAAAAAGCTGAAATAACAAAACGCGTTGTTTCATTGCTGCGAAAATTACCATCTAAAAAAAAACATCAAGAGAGCGAAATAGTCAAAGTGATGCAATTATATTTTATTCGGAAAAATAAATTTTTATTACTTCCATTCGAAACTCCAGTCGCTTTTATGTATTACTTTTATGCTTACTTTTCCGTGTTACATGAAGACGAAAATTAAAGACATAGTTTAGGAGACAATTTTCTAGATTTTTAAATCAAAATTAATCTTACATATACATAATATAAAATGTTTTTATAATAAAATATGTATTGAGTGTATTACCTTCAAATTTTCGATATGGATATTCAGCTTCTCGCAAATCAGCATTGGTGCTTTATCTCGAACACTTTCAGCCTATATAAACATAGAAAATTAATTTTAATATTATTTTTTATTTTCATTACTCCTTTATTTTTTTCAATTAGCCACTAAAATATACATTATATCTGTTCTTTTTAACTAAAATTCTTGCATGGTTCATCTTTTTTTCCTTTTCTCTCCACGTTGAAGAGGAAAAGAGAAAAGAGTGCAAGAAGTTTAGCTAAAAAAAAAACAGACCTTCTGTTTGAAAATATAATATATTATTGCCGGTCTAAAATTATTTATACCCGTATCCTGATTGGAAAATAATTTTTTCCAATTAATGAAGAAATCATGTAACAGAAATATCCGAGAAATAATACAAACGAGTTTTCGTTATAAGTACTTACCAAGGCGATACATAATTGTTGACACTTTTCTGCGCCTTCTTGATCGCAAGTCACATTGAATTGTAATCTGTGTTCTATTATCGACTTCGTCCCCGGAACTGGAAACACTGCGCAACTACATGCATCCCCCGCGATTTCCTCTTGCCTGGTACAATTTCTTTTAAAATGCAATATTGCAATAATTATGAAATCGATTGCGAGACTAAAATATTACATTTCAAAGAAAATTAGATTTATGTGAACTATAATTTGACATTAATTATTTCAAAGAAAAAAGAGCGTACATTTTGACTAGTAACTTTGTAATCAAGAATGGTCAAGTGAGATCATTATTTCATTTGTGATCAATTGCATTACATTAATGCATCTATTTTGAACTTTTGAATATAATTATATTATAATTTAATTATATAAGAACTTTGAAATACAATTATAATTTATCTTTTCGTCAATGCATTTTTTCATTTTTTCACTATCATGTTTCACAAGTTTCCTGCTAAAAATGTGAAAGTGAAAGCAAGATAAAATCTGCAAAACTATTTTTCGTTATTTGAAGGGTAAGATTTTTGAGACATAACGAAAAATTCGCACAAGAATATAGAAACATTTACTGTTTAAAAGTCAATATAGCACCGAGATACATCGACGGAAGAATAATTGCATAATTATAGTATACAATTAATTAATATATAATATATAATTATGTATATATTATATATTATATATATTTATATATATTATATAATTTTATCATAGTTACAATATAACTATAATTAAAATTAGAACTTAATACATTAAGAAATTTACAATTAGTCTTTTGCAAGCAAAATATACTTAAATATACTTAAATATGATGTCATGTGTTATCTTACATCGTAAGAGGCAAGAGTGCCATCAGGAGAAGGAATCGTTCCGCTGTCTTCATTGCACACCTCAATTTACACCTCGCGTTCGAGATCGTTACGAATAAATCACGATTATCACGGACGATCGAGCTGCACGCAGCATATGTAGACTCGCGTAATCACTCCGCTTATCCTCTCTCCTCGTGCGTACATATATATATATATGTAAGTGCGCACGGTGGAATGCATGCGTAATCATGCGATACCATTGTTAGTCACAAGCTCTTCGCAATGGTTCGAATTTTACGTTGATATTCAAGCGCGACGTTCCTACAGAGATAATAACTGTCGCGATGCAATCTGAGAATACCATCGTCGAACGCATGCATTCACCGGTATTCGTTTCGTCAGCATAACGTTATCAGCCACGAAAAATATACGCGGAATTCTTTAATACGAGACCGATGTTGTTATCGATATTTATCGATCAATTCTTTTTTTTCCCCGTAACGTCTGCTTTCAAAATTACATATTTACTTGCATCTTTCGACGCCTTATTCTCCAAAAGGTTTCTTAACTCTCGAACTACTTGCCTCTCGAAAAATTTTCCCTAGGAGATTTTCCTGCAAACTGTACGTGTCCTCGAAATCTATTGATAAAATATAAATGTGATATAAATAAGTGAAATAACATCTGGAAACAGAAAATGATACGCTACTCTGCGAAAGGTTCCTTGATCTTCGATCGTTTTCTCTCGATTCCTCTCTCTAACTTTAGAACTACTTACTTCTCGAACAAGTTTTCCCTGGGAGATTTTCCAACAAATTGTGGTCTCAATATATAGATAGATGAAATACAAATACGATATAAATAAATGAAATATCATCTAGAAATAGAAACAGAAAATAATGCTAGGAATACTCATACAAGTGATGTTTTTATACATAACTAATTAGTATTTTATCACAGCTTTTAATGTACATTAACGTTTTGAACCGAATTTATCATAAATTTTACAGAAAATAAATATATATATATATTATATAATATAAATTTACAACATCAATGAAAAGTGTTTATATAACAGCATAAAACAGAAAACGTACGCTTATTTGCATATAATAATTTCCTCTCTGTACATATAAAGTTACGAGAGACTGAAATTATACATTTGAATTAATATTAAAAATACAAAATTTTATAGTTTTAAAACGATATACTTTTTGTATGGGAAATTCGGCTTCTGACAAAAAAGATTTGCACTGTTTCTTTTTTAGAAAAATGCATTTACAATCTTATTCCTAAAATCTCTTTATCTTAACTCAAATGTAATATTTTAAAAAGACATTCCACCTCTCTATTAGTTGATCTAATTTTTTTCGTGTTAAATAACAAAATATTAATTCTATTAAAATAAACTTATTAAAATGTACAATAATAAGATTAGAATTTAATTATTAAGATACAATTATAAGTGCTCACAAAATAGTGCAGATATTGTTTAGTAAATTAATTACCAAATTTAATTAATTGGAGCTTAACCGAGAAGTCTCCCATTATATTATTAAATTATATTTCGCAACATTCCGGACGAGAATGCAATGTGTAAGGAAAAAATAACAAAGAATGCACAATAAAATAATTAATATTACTAAATTACCAAAATTAATATACTACTTATTACGAAATTGTCAAAATTAATATTATTAATATTACTATCTAATTATAGCAATAAAATAATTCCGTTTTTTCTGTTTTATCTTTTCAGTATTGGCCAAGAAATTCTATTGTTTTCTCTTCTCGCGGTCATGGATCAGATGGTTCAGAAATGCAATCACGTGACCGGTGTATCGCCGTCTGCGCAACGTGTAATCATTCTACTAGTTCGATATATGCTCGTTTGTACCAATTGTGGATTAACTTAAGGGCCTCTTTCACCAATCTCGATTAACGCTAATCGATGGTTAACTCAATCACCATGATTGCCAATGTGAGAGATAAATACAGAGGAAGAAGAAAGTGGAAATTTCTAATACATTAAACTGCTGTTAATTAGCACTTCTACGAGTTAATCGTAGATTAATTTAATCAGAAGTTGGTGAAAGAGACCCAGCAAACAAGAATGGATTGAAATTTTTTTTCTATTCGAATGCGTATTTTATATATAAATAACGAATACTTTTTTTGGATTTAATTGGATTCAATTGGATTCAATTGGATTGAAAAACTACATTTCCTATTCAAAATTTTGAATTGGACTATAATATTCAATAGTATATCTATAATATTCATAGAAAAAGCTAATATTATTTTTAAATTGAAAGGTACCCAGCAAACGAGAATGGATTGAAATAAATTGAAATGGATTCAAATTTTCAGAAATATTGATTCACGAATGTTAAAATGAAGGTTTTTCAATTCTGAATGCATTTTTATTCATTTATAGGAATTGCATGGAGCATATCTCTATAGAGCATATCTGCCTTTCAATCTAAAAATAATATTAGCTCTTTCGGTGCACACAAACATAATTGTGAATATACTGTTCAATTCAAAATTTTGAATAGGAAATGCAGTTTTCCAATTGCATCCAATTGAATCTAATTGAATCCAATTGAATCCAATTAAATCCAAAAAAAGTATTCGCTATTTGAAATACGCATTTGAATAGAAAAAAATTTCAATCCATTTTAATCCATTCTCGTTTGCTGGGCACAGAGATATTGCTCCATGCAATTCCTATAAATAAATAAAAATGCATTCAAGATTGAAAAGCATTCATTTTAACATTCGTGAATCAATATTTCTGAAAATCTGAATCCATTTCAATTCATTTCAATCCATTCTTATTTGCTGGGGGCCCTTAAATCTCGATTTAATTTTCTCTTCATCTTTTCTAGTTCCAAGAATTAGAAAAAAAAGAAGAGTAAATTAAACCAATTAATCCACATTGATAGAAATAGTGTTTCTATAGGAACACAATAGGGATGCATTCGGGGAGGCACTATCAGTACTATTTGTGTCATTCTATCTACATTGTTTATTATACGTAAAACAAAGATAAGTGACACAAATAGTGCTGATAGCGCGATTTTCGAATGCAGTCTAGGTAGAAACAGACCGTAATGATTTAGTACAGTTTAGTTGTACAGCCAGTCACGTGACAGGTATGACATACATTGCGTCTGACGTGTCACATGTCGTCTATTCTACTGACACCGACATGGCGTCCGTCATCAAAGGTGCGGCATTCACGGTATCGTTCTAAAACGCATGAAAATGCTTGCACGTATACTTGAAGGACGATATACATAACGCACTTAACATTAGACATTAGCACACTATCATTGAATCATACGCGTTTCCGCAGACACGGGCGAGATCTGGGGTAGATTGTTCGACCATCGTCCGTTCATCCAGGGGGAGGTCACGTTCTTTCTGCGAGAATTTCAGGTGAGCTCCTGCTAATCGCGGACTTGGTCATCGCCGCATGACAGCGACGTTACCTCGGCATCATCTTCATGCGATTAAACGAATTGGAATTTAAGTAGAGATATTCGATCGAGATGTAATTTAAATGCGCGGACATAACCTACAAGTTGTGAAGACTCAATTGTAAACAAAAATGTTAATGAAAGTTATGATTGCTCTTGTCTGCATGATAAAACGTTTTAATATTCTTTTTTTAAAAAGTTTCTTTTAGTTGTCAATTTATAAATCTTAAAATTTATTTTTATCTTAATCAGTATTTGTGGGCTCAGTGTGTATTTGCAAACTCAGATTTTTTTTATGTTGTTAAAAAATTGTTATATTCGCAACCTTACATAATTTTATGTTGCATGATCTTATTCCTTGAATTTTGATTTTAAAGATGAAAAAAAATTTACTTATATAAATTTTAAGCACAAATATATTAATTTAAAGTATACTGGACCTAATAATACCAATTAAGGAAATTTTCAGAGCAAATATCGATTAGAGTTAATTTAAATTTATATCATGACATCAGTATTATTTGTATTATTATAGAAATTATTGTATATCAAGTATTTAAACATTATATATATATATATATAAATGTACATAGTAATAAGTTTTCAATATAGAATGATTCTACAAGATTGCAATCGTTATTAGGAAAAAAGATCTGACAGGGAGGTAGAACGTCTGTTTAAAATACTAGAGTACACGACAGAACTGAAGGAGAGCCAGTTGGATCGCACTGAGCAGCTTGGCGATTGTCATTTACCTAGTCTCAAGGCAAATGTCGATGTCGCGCTGAGTATGTGCAACCGTGTTTTACAGAGGGAGGAAAATTTCGATAGTGTATGTATACCAGCTTTTGTATTTTTTATTTACCTCACGTGACATAAGAAACGATAAATTCATAGAAACTTTTTATAGGATAATGTTTTGAGTGAGAATAGATTGCTTAGGAAAAAGGAATGGGAGAAATTCATAAATGATATGAGCAATAAGTGTGAAAAGGTGGACCAGACTTTCCAGGAGAAAGAAAACGAAATACAGGAGTTCTATGTTGACTTAGAAAAGAAATTGCATATTACGCCATAACAATTATTTGTTAGTCTATCCGTGCATTACCTCTCCTAGAATATCTCAACGTTTAATAAAGACCTAATTATTTCCTTAAGATAGAGTGTATTAAATTTATTTAGATATGCCACTAGAGTCGATTGTAGATCCTACTATAATGATAAAACCATCTAAGAAATTGACAGATTTCATCTTATATGATGTAAAAGATACAGATGGTGCACCGGATGGCATCACGTTCTTGCACAGCAAATCGAAAAAATTCAAAAAAGAGAAGATTACAAATGCCACATTAAAAATCGAGGACCTCAAATGGCTGAACAAGTATCTGAAAGAGAACAGAAAAACTGCAACGAAAAAAATCTATCTGCACGAACTTTTCGATGATTCCGATGTAATATTACCGACGCCAAAAGAGACGCCACGAAATCCAGAATTGGAGGCCAGAATACAAAAATTAACGGCGCAACAAAACAACAGAGAATATCAGGCAATGACGAAAAGTATCGATTCTTCGCGGAAATTCCTACCGGAAGACAGTGTCGCGTATCAAAGTAAACAAAATATTTTTATATAATATTCTTAATCTATAAAATGCCTATAAAAGACAATTTAACGCGAGTTTCTAATATTATTTTATTTTGCAGTGAAGCAGATAAACAAGCAACTGATCGCCGTCGCGCAATTTATATTTTCTGTGATAGCTGGCTTCGCTTTTGGTTTCATTGGAGTAGAACTCATAGTCGGGGACCTAGATTTCGGGTTTAGATTACTCCTAGGTATAATTTGCGCGCTAATTATAGCGTTGGCCGAGATCTATTTTCTAGCTTTAAAATTAAATGAATACGGTTTCGATGTCACATCCAAATCGACAAAATCACATCAAGACTAACGTTCCAACTTTTCCAGCTCAGTCGTTCCATTAATGAATATATATATTATAGCAAAAATAGTCTTAAAATGCTAATATAAAGCAATACGCAAGCTACTTTTGCTAACTTTATATTGTACAAAAATTTTTTTAATGTACATCGCTTGCCTATGATTATACAATACAACATTCTTTAAAGACCAAATAAAACGAGATATTATGATATCATTGATTTATTATTACCAAAAAAATAAAAATCAATTTTAATTTTAAAATATGATAAAATATGATTATAAATAAATATTAATGTAAGAAATATTAATCTGATTAATATAATTGTGTACATGAATAATTAATGTCATGAGATATATATGTACAAAAATATATGCGAAAAGAGATATGTGTAAAAAGATCTAATAGTGTACTTCTACATTCGATTCCGAGTATATAAAAATATTTTTTTCTAAAATAAATTCTCATGATTTATTACAAATTTTGTGTCATTTGGCTGCATTTATTTGTTCTGCAATATAGACGCACGATCTTGATAGATAAATCTTGTTGATCTATGACAGTTTAAAAAATAAACCAAAATTTGTTAAATAATCGAAGTCTGTTGAAAGCAGAAATCTACGAATTCATCTCTTATTGTTCTCTTCACTGTCACTTTTCACACTGCTTTCACTTTTATCACTGTCTGAATGACAAGCACCATTCTCCTTGGTTTCACTCTCCTGTTCACTGCTCGACGAGTTCCCATTATCTCCCTTAGTTTCATCGCTATCCGAACAGGAGTCTGTGTCAGAGTCACTGTCGCTGTCTGAATCAGAACTGCTCTCTGAAGAACTACTGCTGTTGGATGGTTCTTTGGCCGCCATCATTTCTTTGAATTGCCGGACCGTGATCTTTCTAGGCATTATTTCTCGCAGAAACTCCAGCGTGTCGTTAGTCTGTACTACCTCTGCCAGGTGTTTATAATCCAGAGAAGGTCCCTTGTTGCTTTGCATGTGTGCTTCCTCTGTCAGATAATGTATGAAGAGTTCCTATGTGCAAAGTATTTTATAGAATATTGAACGCTAAATTAATAAGGCCTAATAATAATCAATTCATAGTTTAAAAGCAGAGGCTATGGCATAAAAGACTTAAGCAGTAAGCGAAGACTAGTAAGTAGAAATCTCACAGTAGAAATCGTTAGATAATTTAAACTGTAGCAAATCCAAAATGTTGATTTGATTATTGCTTAAATTTTTTGCATATTACAGGCGAGAAATAAATAAAATTATTAGTCTACTCACTTAAAAAAATTAATATTTATTCTGTTATGTTGATGTGAATATGATGATTATGATGTGAATAATACAGCTTAAATATTCAATATATAGTGACGCAAAAATTTTCTCTAGTGCGCCTAGCTGACGTAAATAGAATTAGCAATCAAACAGCTTAAATCAAACAGCGTAAATATTTTACATGTAACAGCCCATCAAAATTAATAAATAGTGGGTTGCAAAAATATGTTACTACTTTTTGTTGTGTGTAATGATTCTGTTCATGTTGTATAAAATCCCCAAATATTTTTGCATTTAAAATAAGATATACATTTGGTGTTAAAAAGAGAGAAAGCGAAGATGCTGAGTGCAAGCAACATAAACAGGGTCAATGTAAAATTTATAGTAATCCAAAAATGTATTTGATTATTTCCCCAAGGAGCCTAATTTAAAAAAAGTGAGAAATTGCTTTAAAAATGGGCAATTTCGCAATATATATGCGTGTTTGTTCAAAGCATTTTACATCTCAAGACTACTTTTCAGAAAGCAAATTAAAAAAATTAGTAATAAAAATTGTCTGTTACACCTATATTTATACATCTGCTGATATTCTTTTGAAATATTTTTATTTGAATAGTAATATATGAAAATATCTTTGCATGTTCTTCTAAATTGTTTTATTACTATTTATAGGCTGCTTTTTAAAGCAGACATAAGATAATTTACAACCACTTTAACTTGTCTGCTTACACTTTGCAAAATCTCGTCACTAAAAACGCTCGGGAAATCTTTGCGTCGCCAATTGGTCATTATTTATTTAATAAATTAATGAATCGTGATGGACCTTCTTTAGGAACATCCTCTCTAACCTCCAACCTTACCGTGGCTTTTGTGACCAAATACAAACCGTCCTGACCGACGGTATCGACGCTAGGCGAGCTCTTCATAATTGTCTTTACCCTCGAGATCGGCAGACGCAGCTCTTTCAGTTTCACGGAAGAACTTTGCGTGCTCATTGCGCGCACTTATTCTTGCCTTCTATTTTATTTATATACAAAAAACGCCGGCCGAACAAAAACAGCCGTATAGAACTGACATCAATTCCCACCAAATTCTACGATTTAAAGTGCAGCGATTAGTTCGGCGATGCTCCTTCGCGTTGTAGATGGCGCTAGTTTCGTTACGAAACTCGAACCAAAAAGTCGCAACAGAAAGGAAAACCATCCTTCAATACCATTCGGCTATATTCGGTTTACACACTTACACGCTTTAAGCGTTTATAAGCATTGCTTACATCATTCGCTTTGGCAATGTAAGCACTCAAAGATGCGTTCATGATGTCATCCGTGACGTCATACTCGTACTCACAAATATTTATTTCATCGAGGTAGTTTTCAGCAAAAGCGTGAACACAAATAAGCGCTTATTGGCCAAAATAAACGTGAGCATGTTCGATCCTAATCCTAATAGCAATCTAAAAAATGAAAAGTGAAAAATTTCTCCATTAAGTTCAATGATTAAAATTTTCACTTTTCACTTTCCATCCTAGAGATAAAGTTTCATGATTGATACCCTGGAGAGAAAAGGAAGAAAGATGAATTGGTTCAAAAGTTCAACCAAAAAGAACAGATCTAATATCTTGTTTTCCAGCAATTACACTATAGAAAGTGATTGGCTGTCACTTTTAGAGCGGTATTTATAAAGCAATATTCATAGATTGACCTCTTTGAGATAGTTTTAAATTTGTTGAAAAAAAATCCAATCTTACATTTAAATGAACTCATATTTTGGGAAAAAAACCGTTTCAGATGATTTTAAATATATAAAATCAAATTATAAATACCTTTATAGGATCTAATAGATTTGCTATTACAGAGAGAGAGAGAGAGAGAGAGAGAGAGAGAGAGAGAATCTCCAAATTGGAACACATCTCTACATTCGTAGTATCATCGATATTTTGTGAATTTAAGAAGCATCACAATAAAATTCTCGCATAAATACTCGCTGCTAAGCAAATTACATTTAAAACGTGGCGATAGTTCTCTTAGAAATACAAACAAAAAAAATAAATATATCATAAAAAATTATTCTTAAAATGCAATAACATTGAAAAAAATCTTCAATATCTATTCGGAAACAATTTTACCTCTATAATAAAATTCTCCTCTTGACATTTTCCCCCACTGCTCCATCTATTTGCCATGAATAAAATCGTAGAATAAGGAAACAAATAAAAACAGACAATATAAAATAAGAGCAAAAATCAAGGGGAGATTCTACAGTAGGAGGATGATTTGTTTTATCAATTCCAGAATAAAAGAATTCTATACTATATAACCAGTATTATTCCGACATTCGTACAGATATAAGAATATTTTACAAAGCGCGATAACGATAGAATTCTATAACTAAATAACTGATATTAATACCGGCGCATAATGTAGTAATGTATGTCAGCAGCATTATAGGTAGAATGGACAATATCAAATGAGTTTTATGAAGTATTTCGATACCTGAAATAAGAATAACAATCAACTTATCTAAAACAATAAAAAGAAAAGAGATAGATGGTATTATTTGAACTTTTCTTAACTTACTTGCGTAGCCGAGAAACGTTATGTAAATATAATAACCGATAGATATAAACCAAAAAGTATTCCCAATGAATCGCCCCCAAAATGTATCATTGTTTATGAGACCTGTAAAAGTGAAATGCATTAAATAATATTCGATGGTGCATCTTTGATACAAAATATATGTGAAATCCAACCATTATATAGAAATAATTGTAAAATGTGAAGTATAACTAATGGAGGAAACACTGCATTTAAGTGGATGTCGAATGCATAGCCCCATTCAACGTCTTGTGTTCTGTCTATCCTGAGATATCGATTTGTTATAAACCTATAAATGAATATATAGAATTAAAAATTGAAGATAAACTTGAGCTAACTTTAATTGATTAATTTTAATTTCTACTAATATGAATTAATTTTAATCTCGATTTAATTTACTCTTCAACTTTTTCTCTAATTCTTAAAATTAAAGATGAAGAATAAGTTGAATTGAGATTAAAATTAGTCTACATTCACAGACTTATATAAATAGACTGCTGACTCAATTTGATAGAAAGAGATAAACCTGATTTCGAGCTGTCTGTTTTAGTTCCCATATGCTTATGTACGCATCCTGTCTATGAGTATCATGTAAATTTATCCATGTAATTTATACATGTGTGAGTAAGAAAACTCAAATATAGCGCTGCCCAGCGCTGTCTTCAAACATGGAGGTGAAGTTGGCAGTCTATTTATAAAAGTCTGTGTCTACATTGATAGAAACAGGTATTAGAACTAGAAAAAAATTAATTAAATTGAGATTAAAGTTATTCTACATTAGTAGAAATGGATAAGTTGATTTTAGAGAATTAATTAATATCTCTTATACAAAAAGTACAATCATAAAAAAGCAGTATAACTTTACAATTAGCTTACCAAAATATCGTTGCTATTAACAATCCAACAACTAGATAATCAATGAACATCATATAAAGCAACAACTTCGTGAATTGAAATATTCTTAAATTCAGCATCAATCCTAAACCGATAGTAGATATGCAGAAACAACCCATGACCAATACTAAAAATGCAGGGTCGTCTCTTGCAAAATGCGATTTTGTTTCTGCAAAAATCCAATGGAGAAATCATAAGACTAGAATATATGCTATTAATATATCTGGTATATCAGTATGTAACGTACGTTTTCTGTTTTGGAAGTTTCTATATACTTTTTGTGGCGCTACAAATAGATAGATCATCTGCCACATAGCAAATTCAAAATCCATCTGTTCAAACTTCAGCAATTTTCTCAGATATTTGTAGCTTTTTGTCGCCGCTCCCATACAATTATGTCTGCAATATAACAAGTCATTTAATCAAGTCACTTTACTTTTTTTTTTACCTTGAAGCAAAGTGATAAACTATAATTATAAAAATTCTAAAATGCATGCAATATGAAATCAAGTCATTTTGTGAAAAGACAATAGAGTTAAATGGAACGGAAAGTGGATACGTTAATATTTAAATTATAAATTACAAAAAAAAAACTGAGGCGATGCATAACGATCCGTAACGTTACCTGTAAACGATCGGCATCGGCAACGAGGACGAGAATTCTGTTGGAACGGGTGAGTGACACCGACTCGTTGGCGGCGACGTGGAATACTTCATTTTTGATCCTTTTGACAGCTCGTACCTCGCGCAATCACTTTCGATAGATAAGCATAACCCCTAATAAATTAAATTCTCTCGCGACACGGTTTCAGGTTATGTTTGCGTATTATTCACTATTTTATTATGACAAATGACAAGTCCCAAAACGCCTACTGTGAATTTACGCCCTCTCGAGGCAAATATCAAAATCACAGCACGCTCGATAATAAACGCAATAAAATGATAAAAAAAGTTTTAAAATAAGTATATGAAACTCAGTAAATTATTGTCGAATATATTAAATAATTAATAAATGTTTGCGAAGTAATCTCGGGATAATCATAGATTGCAAAATTAATGTCGCATTACAAGCACGAATCTTAAAACTCGGATAGCAATATCAACTAATTCTGCAATTATTGAACTTAATATATATAACGTATAATTTTCTAATTTATTTTATTTTTATCATAAATGTATATTCTTTAATTTACTATAGCATAATGAATGTGCGTGTGTGAATACTCTAAACCTTTTTATAATGCATGTTGATTCTTTCCGCAATTTTATCACTCTTTAAACAATAATCAACGTATTCAGTTTCCATTCTATTATTTAACTCAATGTATTTTTACAAAGTGATTTAATCTTACCTTTAATCTTACTTTTACTGTACATTTTTATGATACATATTGTAAAAAATAACTCTTATGCGATTATAAAAAAAGGATTGTTAAAATACAATCTTAAATAACTGAATCAATATTTTCATTAATGATAACGACGTACACACAGAGATCACGCGAAAATGTATAGGAAATTGTATTCTGCCGCATTCCGCATATTAGATATACGACTAATCGATTTCTCTGCATGTATGCTTCGTATAGTAGATGCTAAATTAATCTGGATAGGCCTATAGAGAATGCGATGTACGTTATGCTTACGCATATATATTGCTACTTGAAAATACTATAAAACTCAGATGAAAAATTTTTTACAGCCCTTTAAAAGCATATTTAATTACATATTAATGTTAACTGTGTGCTGTGTTGTCAATATTATAATTATTATTACTCAACTATTAAAAACACGTATGTTTTCCGTCTTGTTTCATAAAAGATACAAAATAGAATATAATACACAAGTTAGTAAATTTAAAAGAAAATGCTCTTATAAAATAGAAATGTCTTCAATCCTACAACATGTATTTGTGCTATACAGCACGTAGGTATGTTACGGAATAAATAAAAAGTAGACAGATTCCACAAATTCTGATCAGCAGGATAATTGTGTGTGATTTTTAGCATGAGAGCTCACACTCGTCAGAATATCCGAACAAAAATGTTTTTATTTTGCTGAATTTTTTAATTTGCTTCCGCCGGACTCTGCCAGTAGTGCGCTTGCATGGATAATCGTTGATTGTTACTTGGTTTGAGAGGCGTCACGCAGCGGGCGGCATCCGGAAATCGTTCGTGATAACGCTCTAATCTCAGGTACTTCACAGTCACTAAATTACCTGCAAAGAAAATGTAAATCCTAAAGTAAAGATAAGCGATTTTCTGAAGAATCAATTCTTTCGCGCATCTGGGATACATTCACCACTTAATGCTTGTAACATTCTTGGAAACACTTCATCCTTGCTACTTATAAAATATTAAACAAATGATACTCGCCAGTGTGTAAGCATCAAATGGAACACATTCCGAGATGTAAAACAATTGCTTCTTCAGAGATTATCCATTGCAAATACATTGCAGTATATGCATTAAAATCAATATAAAACTAGCATAATGTTGGCATAAGTTTCTAACAAGGATTATATTATTAAAAAGAAAAAATTATATACTAATAATTATGGCCATATTCAGAACGCGCTTACAACGATTTTAGTGCGCTAACATACTATAATTTACATATATAATTTACGCATATTATAGAATTTTAGAGCTAAAAGCGCGCTTCGAATACTCGATAATAGTGCGTTCTGAATACAGACCTATATCTTTAACTTCTTCATTAATATTATATTTCATAAGTTTCTCAAAAATTAAGAGTTTGTCTATTACAGTCGAAGCTGGATCTTAGGTACTTTTAAATAATTTCTATGTGAATTTATATGTTAAATATGTAGTCATTTGAACTGCGAGCCGAAATGATTTTTCGAACTTATAAACGCAATTTAACTATTATAGTAATATCACAGATTGATAAGCAATTTAATAATTTAATAAATTTATTTACAGTTTTTCAGTACATTAACATCTTTCTAAGGGATGTCAGATTGAGCATCAAATTATTAAATTGCTTATCAATTTAATTTGTGATAGTAGTAGTAATTTAATTGCGTTTATAAGAAAATCATTTTGACGCGTAGTTTAAATGACTACATATTTAGTATATAAATTCACATAGAAATTATAAATTTATTTAAAAGTATCTAAGAGTAGACCTGTCTAATTTAAATTCTAGAGCCAAAACGCAAAGCCATCGACGTACAAAAATTCAATGTGAGTAAGATTTTAGGAACTATGAACTGTTGATAAGCGTCATTAGATGCATATCAATACTTTACAGTCTCCGCAATCTTACCCACATTGAATTTTTTGCGTCGATGGCTTTGTGTTTTGGCTGCAGCTTCCATGGCGGAGCTCAAATTGGACAGGCCTGATCTAAGATCTTTGACCGTAATAAGCATTAAACTTTTACTTTTTCACATGTACAGTCTTAAATCGTTTATTATTTCTCAGCAATATTAGTGGAATTCTGTGAAAACTTTACGTAAGATGGTCGCCAACAACCGGTGTTTAAGAATTAAGTTTAGAGAATAAGAATTATAATTTTTGTTACACATACCATCAAACCAACAACCATGTAATGCTCTGTAAGCTTTGCCAGCATCTTCCTGCGACATACATTTCATATAAACGCAACCTTCACGGCTACCAATGTCTACTCGAATGTGAAGTATCTTTACACCCTCCCCACACTTTTCTAAGATAGCATCCTGCACTCTCGTTTCCCAATCGTCTTCGGTTTCACTATATTGTAATAAAAAGTGACTTAAATCACTATCATCCCATTAATCAATTTTAGATTATAAACGCACTCATGCATTACTTACATATCTGGATCAAACATGTGCCTGATTTTCAAGCAAGGTGTCGGTGAACAAGTTAAGCTATTAACTGACCCCTCCATCGTTTCGAACGCTTGTCCTTGCCAGACCTTCGGCTTCTTACCTAAGGCCGCGTTTTGCGCGGGAGATTTATTCAAAGCATTATTCGGCAACCATCGCCAGACATGAAACTCTTCTCCTGCCACTTGCTGTACCTCTCTTCGAATTCTAAAGATCAAGATCATATATCCCATTACATAACTGTAAGTAAGATATAAAACAAAGACGTACAAAAGATTTTTTTTACCTGGATTCATTTTCATCTAGAAACTTGACTGCCTTTTCCCAAAGACTGGTCATTCTTTTACGATCTTTCGGTGGAATAAGATTATCTCGTACATGATTAATAGCAAGGAAACTTTCTTGCGCGCCGGGTTGCGTGGACGCATTTTGGTGATGTGTCTCAACGATACTTATAATATCGCTAACAAGCTTAAATACTTCTCTCTCCATATTTCTCTTGTATCTTAGGTACCAAAAGTACGATTTATAAATTCCGATACCTGTTAATGAGACTGAAGATGCACAGGTACTAGTACAAATCTTTCGATACATGTAGTTCTGTCTATGTATGCATTGCAATATCGTAAACAGATATTACTTTGCGAATCATTTGTAAATTTTTTGTAATGCATATTTCTTTTTTTTTTTATACATTTAATATCTATATAAAAAGTATGTATCTCTCGATGCACTTCGGATATAAAAAAAGAAGTGTCTCGTTACAAAGTAATTTCAGTTTACGACAATATATTAAAGACAAAATTATATCGGCAAAGCATAGAGAATCATTTTAAAATGCAACTAACTTTACTTAAAGTATAGCTTACAGTACACCATAAAAAAGTGAATAATAATCTTATGAATATATACATCGTGTATTAACGACATGCACATAGGATCTCATAACACAGAACAAGATTCAGGAAGTTTTCTCAAATAAACAATCTGTTAGAACTTTACCGATTGCCACTATAAGAGCAGAAGAAATGATGGTAAAAATTTTGTTCTTAACAAGGCATTGCATTGGCAGCACAGGATTTAAAATTGCCATTCCAATTTTTCCATTTAGACGGGCGGAAAATAATTTATCCTGTAACAATTAAACAAATGTATTAATAATACAAGCATTTCTACGCCTAAAAAAGAAAAATAGATGAATATATTTACTAAAGTATCCAATATTTCCATGGTTGCTCCATTATCGTCATTTACATCGATAAGTGAGATGCCCCATTTCGGATTCATAATGATTAAAAATTGCGCGCTATGCAGATCCTCCTTCACCTCAAGGCTCGTCTGGAAATGAAGAATTATCGATATATAATCGTTAAACGAAATTAATTCTAGTTCTCAACCCACCACTTTCTCGCTTGTAAACATTTCCACGATATCCGCATTAGTCAAGTATGGTTTCTCATTCGAATTTTCGCATATTTTAGATATCGTCTTTCTCGTTAGGATGGGTTGCAGATGTTTTAACAATTGCAACACAGATTCTATGTTTTCCTTCATTATACAATTTACTCCAGGCGCTTTAAGATCAGGAGCTCCATCGAAGAAACATTGCGGTATGTTGTTATCTATAAATACAGGTGATATAAAACTATACAAGCTAAATAAATCATTAATCTATATAACATTGAAAAATTGGGAATTGTAAGTATGAGGTAGTTTCAAATTATATTTGTTTCAAACGAAAAACTGCCATTTTTTAAAATAATCATATAAGAAAGAAAAATAATGAAAATGAAAATGGCAATCCTTTATTTGAAAAAGTCAAAGTCTCGTATGAAACTACTTTCTTCCTTATATACAAATAAATCAACTCTTCAAAATAAACCATATTTGTTGCACTTTATAATATTAAAAGAAAAATGTCTAAATGTTACAAATAATGATTAAAAATTCAATGATTCTAAAAAGTAAATATATTGAACAAAAGATACAATAAATTTAAAATTATATGTCAATTTAATCATTTTTTTACATAACGACAAATAACTCTCTAATAATATTCTTAAACTTTAAAATTGGTCTGTTTTACAAAAACTTGAATAATACTTCGATTGATATATTTTTCCGAGCTGCACATAAGTTTTATCTCTACATACAAATAAGCATCGTATTATCGTCTAAATTAAATGATACAAAACGCGTGTTCGCAAATATAGGTGAAATAAACTGGAAATATAGATGCATTGAAAGAACGGGAAAAGAGGAAATAAAATATCCAAATTAATTTAAGAGATATTTGATTTTTATTATACATGTAAATATATATATAGAAAAAAGAAAGTACAATTCAAGACATTCTCTTGTATGTTTAATTTAGTAAGCTCGAGACAATTACTTTATTAGCCGTTAACGTTAGTAATAATTATAGTTATAAATATATAATAACTTGCATTCTGTAGGCCAAAATTGATTTGATAAAAGAGCATATACATTGTGCTTTGTGCCATATTATTTATGACAATCAAGCGTATAATTCTGAGAAATCTCTTCCCTTCAAAGTTTATCGGTCTCTGAAATCTTCCCTAGTTATATTTCAGCATACCTACCCGATGAAAGCGATGGAAGCGTCTCGGTTTCCCCACCAAGTCCTAAATATATTATTGCAAGAACAACAAAGAATAGGGCAAGTACTGCTACGAGGCCCATCGATACGATATTCTGATTATTTCGTACATTCTCCATGTCTGTATTTGTCGTTGACGGTTTATAAGTCGCTCTACTGAAAATATCTCGAACTCTGTCAGCGGACGATGCAGTATATCTCGAGCTAAATAATATTTGTTGATATTATACATTACATATAATTCAGATAAAATAATAATTTATATGTACCTTGGCTGAATTGACGACGAATACATGCTCCTTAAAGAAGAGAAGTGACCATTCGAATCTCTCTCTTTCACTTCTGGTAAACCAGAGGTCAAAGTATGGCGTAATGTAGGATCTGAAGTTATAAAAAGTTTATGTGAGATAAACGCACGAATTAAATATATAAGTGTAATATAAAATTCTTATTTTGAACTAAACGGATATATTTTTTAATAATTAATTTGATCTGAATAAACTAATAAATTACAAATAAAACTTTTCATAAACTAATAAATTATAAATAAAACTTTTCAATTATTTATAAAGATATGAGCGTAACATTTAGTTCAAAATAAATATCTTGTATTAAAGTATAGGCTTTATTATATATATCAAGAGATTTGCTTACTTTTTAAGCTGGATAATGTTGATGGCGGCGTATTCGTGTTTATCAAAGATTGTGAACTGAGTCTCCTTGTAAACTCTGATAAAAATGGAGTTTCATAGTTTGCAAGAAGATCTCTCTGATTTGTACTGTCCCTTCCACTCACATCTTCCTTTGTAGATTGAATCGGAGAGACGCTTGGCTTCAAGGGAGATACATTATATTTGCTGTCCTTCCATCCATAAGATGGCTTCGTTTTAGATATCTGATCGTAATCGAAAGTTCCGCGATCGTATACTCGAGAATCATACAGTCTGCTGCTTGGATTGGACAAATACTTGTCGTATGAGCGCCCATATGAACTTCCAGCATCCTCTACAACATCCGAGTCCGATCCAGTTTCCAAACCATCAGATACATAGGTTCTCTGTGTCTTGCTAAATTTGCTCGACGTAGTTTTTGAAGTTGTGCGAGTCACAGAAGGCATGTTTGAGTCAAAATTTGTCACATTAGGATCTTTGAACTCAGAATGTGGTGGCGACAAATTTTCCTTGGCTGGATTTTTTGTCACACTCGCAACATCAGGGGGAATAATCGAAGGTGGAGGCATAGGATTCGCTAACGTTTGCCGACGCAGATTTGCACTCTTCTTCTTCTTAACAACATTTGTGTTTGTATCGTCGTCTGTGTCGTCGCTGCTATATCTAATGCATAGATGAAGAAAACAACAATATCAAAAGGGAGGTACAAAATATATTCTACATATACATAATTGTCTAGTATATTGAAATTCAATTAAAAGCATTAAAAATATTTAGAAATAGATTATAAATATAAAATATTTAAATTAAAATCTTATTAGCACTAAATCTATTTTTTTTTAGCTAAATTTCTTGCATAATTAATTTTCTCTTATTAGCACTTATTAAAATCTTATTAGCACTAAATCTATTATTTTTAGTTAAATTTCTTGCACAATTAATCTTCTCTTTTTTCTCTAAGAAAAAAAAGAAAATCTGAATTGTATAAGAAATTCAATTGAAAACAGGCATTCTGCTGAAACTTCATGAATTTTTTTAACTTCTACAATACAACATAGATTTAATTCGAGGAATGCAACAAGCGCAAAAAAAACCGCTACATTTTATAAATAATTAGTATTGTGAACTAGATGTTATAGCATCACACATTGCTAAAAACTGAATGTAAACATTGCCACTCCATGCACCATCTTACATTCAGAATCGAGATAAATAAGATCTTTTCTGACGCTACACAGAAGAGAATCTTACGTCGCGTGCTTCGTTAGCTGCGACATTAAAGATTGTTATCGTATGCCGACGTCGCCAAATTTGAAACTTCAGTAGAATCATAACATTCTTTTCGACTCTTCTCGACCTTTTCTTTCTGTTTTTTTTCTCTCTCTGCTCTTTCGCTGAAATCTCGAGCTTACTCCAAACTTCAAGCGTATAAATGTGACACATGCTGAAAGAAAACTCGTGTCGGTGTATCTTTTCAAAGGAAAAACGCTCACCTGGCGGCTAACGAATGCCGGGATCCTCCTGCCCCTCCGGCACTGCCGCGTGCTTCCATAAGGTTCTTCAACTTCTTGGCGAGTATCTTGCGGGTCGTCTGTGTCACCGGTCCCACCGGATACCCGTACTCCATTAACTTCGTCCGAAGCTCGGAATCGCTAAGCGCGTCCACCGACATCTTGTCTCGCGGACGAGTGACCGCGTTCTCAAACGGACAAGATACCCGATTTAAAAAGATACGGCCCGATCGGTCGACTGTCGTATCACGATGTTTACGGGACGTCTTCGCTCCGCGGACGCCCGGTCCTGCGGTTTATTTCGATCGATGATCAATCCTTCGCTGCCCGCCGCCTTCGCAATTCGCGCGTGAGAGACGCTCACTCGTTTGCCGTTATACTCCTTCGTGGACGTCCGCGCACGTGGACGATATGTACGTACCAACCGGTCGTATCCCGGTTCTGTGCGGTCACACAACCAACTCGTTCTCGTCCTCTCGTCTCCGGTGAGATCCTCCTGAGACCCCGCCGTATAATCACGCGCACCACCACCCGCGGCCGTCTCTTTCCGTACCGTCCGGTTATTGCGCGGCTGCCTTCCTCCACCGCCAAACAATTCAACTCGCTCGGTAACTGCAAAAAGAAAAATGGCGCAATTTTCTAACGGTCACAGACGCACGCATACGAGATACGCAGCTGCATGCTTGCATCCGCATAGCATAACGTTCGACGCGTTTCCATGTGGGAATTGGTAGGAATGGCTGCGTTCAGAGGACTCAACAGTTGAGTAATCGCTCGTTGCTATTGATGTATTCTTCCAAATCTAAAATGCTGATTGGATGATCTAAAAGAATACATCAATAACAGCCAATGGGAATCTCGATGCCCAAAGTGCTCCAGCCTTCAATCGGCCGCGAATGAAACTTGTCTGATTGATCGGATGAACGGCGGAAATTTTTATTCATGCTCGAAATCTTCTACTTTAAACTGAAGTTGCCAATAAAAAAATTAATAAAATCGATGGAGCAAGATGGATAAGTTTTAAAATAATTTTTAATTTTTACAAATACTTTCCTACACGCGTTGTTGCTTCGAAATTGGTACATATAAATGAAATTTAAAAGCAATACATGTACATAACTTGCGCTTTTTTCGTTCTTTAAACATATAAGAAAAATTTGATGTTTTAAAACGTCTAAAAAAAGTTTTATTCGATCAGTTTTTTCGTGTAAATTAGTTGATTACTCAAAATAATTAAGTAGCAAATAAAAATATGTAAAGGAAAAATATAAGAAAAACGTAAAGAAAATATTATGTAAAATAATAAATTTTAAAACTACAAAAAAATGGAAAGATTTGAAGAGAAACAAGATGAAATTCATCTTGCTTAAGTTAATTTTAGACAATTTGTAACTTTCTGTTATCATATAACGCGAGAAATATTTAAAAGATATATAATTAAAATTGAATATATATTATAAATTATTTTGAATTAATTATTTCAATTAACTAAAAGAAAAACAATTTAAAAAAATTTAAATAATATATATCAAAATACATAGCATACAAAATTATAAGTAGAATTTTATCATAAAATTTGACATGAATTTAGAAGCCTAAGGACTTTAAACACATATACATAAATACACAGTATATAGCTTTAACGTTACATTTTGTCCTTTGTACAATACAATACGTTAACATTGGAATATGGCGCACAAATAATATATCAATTTATATTATAGGATCCATATATACTTATGTAATGGTATACTTATTACGGCATATAATATACGTAGTGCGATATGTATATGCTTTAAAATACTATACAACTGCTGTGTTACTGTCGAAATGCATGTCTAAACAATCGTGTAATTAAATCAGCGACGATACGTCTTCCTTATTTTGTTATACGAATTGTTATACAATTCTATTCGATTGAAAGTTGCCCGCCAATAGTAAAAAATGGCAAATGTAGTGACTGTATAGCGGTTGCGATTCTGTCGACAATTTGCAAACATTAGCGCGGTCAGAGAGGGATTCCAATTTAAACTTACATATATTATATATAAACTTATATTTAAGTATGTAAACTTACATACTGCCGTTAATTAGAGTTAGTAGAGAAATCTATTTCGAAAATCTTAAATACTTAATCTATATCGTTTATTTAATTTTATTAAAAAAGATTACTCCGATATGTTTCACTGTAGACAACAGATTTTCGTCTCGTTAATCTGAGTATGTTTTCTTTTTCCCTTTTTCTTCTTGATAGACGACAAGACTGCAAATAGACGACAGAATTACACTTACACAGGCAGCATAGACGCAGGAGTGACATAATGGATTGTCTTATATGCTATGTGCATGTTTTATATATATGATGTATAGAAATCACGAACTCGTTACATATACTCTGTAATTCCTTACTAACTCTTTGTATCGCAATATTGTTTCTTATATGTTATCAAGTACTACAACATACGCGGTAAAGTCGTTTAAGCAGTTAAAGAATAGAAAATCTACTGTATAAGCGGAATATAATGTAACAACATTGTACTCAATTCTTAATAGTCTCTTGAATCTCTCTTTTTTTCTTCCGATTTTTTTTTTAATCGCATCGACCGAAAATATTTCAACGAACCTATTTGCTTTCGAAAGCATATAGAAATCGTATTGCGATGAGAAATTCAAATGCATCAACGTAGACCGTATTCGTCAAATACTGCAAACTGTTTACGCATCAGATTGCTACATCTGCGATAACGCTATAAACTACACGTACTTATAAAATATTATATCTATATATTTATATATTATATATATATATATATACACATGTACGTACACGTATCTAATGCAAATAACGCAATAAATAACATCTGCCCGAGCTGCCTCCGTTTCATCCTGCACTTAAAAAACGTGTCTTGTGCTTTATAATTAACTTAAAAGATGAGGTAATAAGTTCAAAGATATACGCTACGAAATGGATGGATATAGCTACGCTTTGAATTGCAATGTAAAAATTTCGCCAAGCATTCGAAAGAAACTCGTTTGATACGCATGCTGCACAGAAGTCCATATTCTTCTTCCGATACATACATACGCTACTACGGTCTTTTGTTCGCAATTAGTGCTATTGATAATATAAAACAGATAAGAATAACGATCGGTACAAGTAATAATGATAAGCCTTAGTCGAGCCGTTCTCTATCACGTTAACGCACACTCATTTCTTTTTGTTTTTGATGAATAACTAATGAAACACTCACAAATGGTTCATAAGACTTAAACGAGACTTGTATGCCACTTCAGCCATGCGCTATCGTTTTAAACGATTAATATTATACTTAAAGAGTTGTCAATAAAGCCCTTTATCATAAATGAGAAAAAAATTTACCGCCATTACAATAAAGTGTAAAGCTAAAATTATAAAGCGCTTTACATATAGCTTAGATTCGTATTAAATCGGTAAATACTAAGTAAATTATTCCTTCCTCATGGTGTGTGCCCTCACGCTACGCATATCGAAAATTTATGACATGCATAATAAAAGTGGCAGATTTCAGTATAAATATATATATGTATATATTAGTAATATACGCGTGGATTATATTATAAAGTGAAAGAAAAAGAGAAAGAGGGAAGAGAAAGAAAAAAACAATAATGATGTGTATGTGTGTGCATAAAATTAATATAAAATAAACTATTAGCATCTCTTATATAATATATACATTTACAGAAAGTTCATTCTCTGAAGATTTTTCTATAATAAAAAGACAAGAAATGTTAATAATATACAATTAAAAAGACGACTGGAAAAAGATACGTAAGCATATATATTATTTTGGAATCTCTCGTAAAATTGCTTGAAAACAATTATAACTATACAATAGATCTCCATGGAATTGTAATTGTTTTCGCGCAAGAATACGCTGCAAAATAAAAAAAAGAAAGCTTTTTAAACTTTCTCGAAGTTTGGATTATTATTCTGGATTATTATGATTTATATAATTTTACATAATTTACATATGTATTTTTTTTCCAGTTCCTGTATTGCTTAAGAAAAAGGGGAAAAATATTGATAATAGACTAATAATTTGTAAATATTTCTTCTTTAATTATTTAGACATTTAAAAGTTTTGAGTTACAAATGCACAGGCTATCCCAGCAGAAATATGTTGGACGGTATTACTTGAATGCTTTCAAACAGATTTATGTTTGCATAATGTACTAGAAAAAATAGAATATATGTTTACAAGCCTTAAAGTTAATGAAAGAGATGTTCAGTAAAATAATTGCAAAATTAATTTTCTATTACATAATATTATACACACATGTTATATATATTCATAACTTATCCTTTTTTATAAAAATCATCATTTTCTTGATAAATTTAAGTAAAATGTTGGTAGCATGCTAACAATTTGTCAATTAATTCCAAAAATATTACGATAAATTGACGTCCATATTTTGTCAGCAAAATCTGCTAACATAATTTGATAATTACCAGAAGAAATAATTAGAAAACGATAGATTCTGCTCAATTTCTGCAGTTAATCCATCATCATATTCTGGTAGCAAATTTTATTATATTTCTGGTGATATTTATCGAAAAAATGTATAGCAAATATTTTGCAAAATCCATTTTCAACAAATTTGGCTAAGTTAATAATCTCTTTCTATTTTTAATAATCTATTAACAGTTTCAAAATATTATTTTATTTAAATCTCTTGAATAACAATACTCTATAGAGTGATATTATATTTTCCCTAGGATAACCTGTAGATGAAAATCAGGGTAACAAAATTAAACATAACGTGTGATATGTTTGTCAGAAGAAAATGAATTGTAAGAGGAATAACAAAGAAAATCATTATTCTAAAAAAAAAATAAATTCGACATCGTGTTATGTGTATTAGATAGTGTCAGGAATATCGGGAAAAGTCCCAATGTAAAGCTGATATTTTACGAATCCAAAATTTGATCGGGCACTATCCTATTAGGTAATGTCTTTATACATAATGTTAAAGCTTCAAAGTGTAGTTAAAAATAAATTTGAAAAATTAAAGAAAAATTAAAGCTTTTATATCTGCGCCTCTAAAGTTTAGAATTTTCAATTGCAAATATATTGGAGATAAAGCTAAGAGAAATATTATATTATTCATTTAATATAAAATAAACTTTGATAATTTCTCTATTTGGCTCCTTCTAATCATTTTATCTAATAAATATAAAATAATTATAAAGAAAGATGGAGTCTACTCAAACTTTCTTTAAAAACAAATCGAATACAAATTGTGTATGTGTGTTATTTACGCGAATAAAGAACATAAAATTCATATTAGAATTGTTATCTCTCAAACTCGGTGATGAGTATGATATATATTCTTATGAATTTAATTTATGGATAATGTGTCGCCACGTTATAAATTGTGTTATAATTTAAATTACAGTAAAAATATTATACAAGTGTGTATATAAAATTGTCCAAGATCATGCGAAATGTAGGAAATATGAAAACTGAATCAAGCTAATAATGGTCCCGAAATTGTCGTATAAAGATTGACCTTTAAATAAGAAACAAAAAATTGTCAGTATAAAAATTGACCTTTAAATAAGAAACAAGAAGATCGAAATGCGTACTGCTTTAACAAGATGTTATCCTACATCAAACTAATAATAACTCGAATACACACCCATCTAATGAACAGATCACATCTACTTCAGATATTTCCGAACAACGACAACGAAAACCGACTGACGAATTCTTCGACCAATTTTTCGAGTCGATTATTTCTTAAGAAAAATTGGTCTTTATATCAATGGACACGTTTAAGTTATTGTAAATATTCATTCTCTCCAAAAAGCAAACTAACTTTTAAACAAATATAAAGCATTACCTAATACAAACTGTTTCCTAATTTTCTCCAACTGCTGATTTGTATATACAAACCAAAAATTCTGTATAAAAATTGAGATAAATTATGAAATTATACATTTCACTTCGCATTAAGTATTTTAATAATAAAACTTCAATTAAAGCTTTATAAAGAATTAAAGTTTTCTTATCTTCATAAAGAATTAAAGTTTTCTTATCTTATTTATATAAAAGTTATTTGTATAAAAGATTATTCAATTTAAACTGCTGATACTTTGTGTATCCAAGTTAGATTGGTCGAAGAATCCGTAGGGTAATTTTTTTGCGTTTTGTCAAAAACCCATTCATAGGCTTGTATACCTTCTCGTATGCGCATGTGTCGAACTGTGAGAGCAGAAAAAGATAAAACGAATCACCTAGAGAACAACATCGGGCAGGGAGCAATGCCACTAGGCTAGCTGCGTTCCACTTCGTCCAGCGTGATGTCCCATACCAATCATGGAACCGCCACTTCCTATGTCATCACGAACGGTTTTCTTTTCCTTATAGTAAATTTCTTCACTTTCTTTCTCGCACAACAGCAATACTGCTCCTCCAACTAGGAAAATTACCGCGCCCCAACCGACGCCGTACGCCCAACCGAATTCCCAGTTGGTTCGGTTTCCTAAAAAAAAAAAGAAATAAATTTAATATTAAGTAAAAATTGATTCAAAGATGTTCAATACAAATAAACGAAGATCATATTAAAAAAGTGGACATAGGGTAAGACAAAGAAAAACATATAATGTAAGTATAAAAAAGACTTGTGTAGATACGATTTCCGCATCTATATAATTTTTCACGACTTAAATTATATGTTTTTCTCTGTTTACATCCATGGCCAGTATTTATAAACTTAAAGTACATCTTGAGACATCATAAGCTACAATCACAAAATCATATTAGCATCTTAAAACATTGCTTAACTGAATATACTTCATAAATTCGATAATAGACAGTACAAGGAACAGTGTATCCTTTCATCTTTTCTTTTCTTTTAATTTAATCAAATCAAACGAGAGATGAAGTAAAAGCTTACCGAGATTCAATTCTGCTGCAAAGCATATGGGATATATGATCAGTGCTATGAGGAGGGACACCACTGAAATACATAGAGATGTAATTATAAGTATACTAAACAAAAAGTAAAAAAAAAAGACAAAACGCTCATATAACACTCACGTGCAATGCCCATGCAGAACACTGCAAATCTATAATATTTATGTTTGTCCCTGTGATCCTGTGTGCGCAAACCCAAACCAGTGAGAATCGTCGCGGCGATATCTGTCAGAAGACACACCACGCACAAAGCCGCAGCTGCCTTTATGTAGGCTGTAAGGTAAAACCTCAGATTACACAGCCAAGTCAGACATTAGTTTGATGCTTAGCAAGGAAAGGAATGGTACCGCTGTCCCTGGCTGCGTAGCATCCTGGGGGATCAGGCATGTTGAAGGGGAGTGGTGTTGGGGCACCTTCCTCGATGCAGTGAGCGAACAAGCCCTGTCTCCATCCCAGGGCCATCAGCCAGTCGGTCGACGCCAAGCCCATTATCATCAGCAGCACCACTATGATCCCGCATATAAACGCGATCACCTGCAAGAAGACGAGCATGAATGCAATAAAGCGACTTCGTTAGTAGCCGCTTAAACGCTATCACATATCCAGGATATCGTGGGAGTATTCGAAAGAGACGTTTCTCTCTCGAAGAAATATGATACCTGCGCGATCTCGTTGTCGCCCATGTGATCCTCGGCGACTGTATACATAATCATTTCACTTCCGAGTCAAGCGATCACGAATCCGTGAAGAGAAACACGCGCGAGTCAGCAGCGACCGGTCAGGGCAAGGGGAGAGCTTCTCCTTCGTGACGTTTCCTTCAAAGACGTACACGCGACGATGGCACGCTTCTTTTCGGATTGCGCGCACGAGGCATTGTCTGCTTCTCGGTACTCTCTTATCTTGACGTCAGTGATTCACGAAAGGGACGCGGAGCGGCTAGAACCCACCCTCTAGCACTCTCTCTCACCAAAGGGCACCGAGATACGCGCGTTGTGCCGAGGGTTCCGCGCGACGATCGTGAAGTCTCGTAGATGGTGGGGAGAAGGGTTGATTAACGGGCTCGGGGGTCAATGGCTTTCGTCGCGCTGGTGGACCCCGCAATGTATTATCGGACGAGGGCAACCCCCTATAACGCGCACCGCACGGGTTGTTTTCTCTCCTTTTTTTTTATCTCTTCTTTTTTTTACTCCTTTTCGTCTCTTTCTCGCGAAGCGGACGGATCGCAGATCGATGGCAGTGTTCCGGGGTCGTGGCACCCTCCCCTCCTTCGCGAAGTGAACGATTTTTAATGACAGTAATACTTGAACAGAAGGAGGGAAAGGGAGAAAGAGAGAGAGAAAGGGAACCGCGTCTCAAGCGAGAACGACTGACTCTCCGCGACTGGGATTGGGGAGGGAAGCAATCGGATTCCAGGTTCCAGGGAGGCTGCGCCCATCAGCGCCCATTAAAGGTCGTGGCGCAGTGCGCGCGAGCGCCAATCTCTGCGCTCTCCCGCTCTTCTTTCGCCCTTTTTTTCTCTTCAGTTATTTTTATTTTCTCTATCTCCCTTTCTCTCATTCCATCCAATCTATTTGCCCCTTTCATGTTTTTCGAGTTATCCAGAACTCCTTGCATGCAATTATTCATATCTTATCGAATGATAGTTGAGTAATTTATTATAGTACAAGGCATTATTCTATCTTTGTTTAACGTTGGCAAACAATAACGATATAATCACTGTGTTATACTGTATCTCTTATTGAAAAGTACATATTATCTATTTTTGCAAAGTATATAAAAATTCTATGTTTTTATTGCATATTTAATATAAAATTAATAGCTTAAAAATTGTATAAAATACAGAGATACAGTGATATAGTCACGATTTATTTAACTAAAAAGATTAAATTGCAGCCTGCATGTGTCACACATTAAATTCTCTGTAATTACAGGTCAACTCATTTTTTTTTATTGAGACACTCTAGTGTGAATTGAAATTGAAGTTACAAAAGTTTTTGTAGAAATAAATCTGTCATTCTATTGTCATGAATAATTGCACTGCATCATCATTTTATAATTGCTTCTTTACATTATCCTTCCATAGAAATTTGATCTTTTTTAATTACACTTTAAATCAAGTTTTTAATTTAAATACGCAACTATTCTATCCTGCAAGATACAATATGATATAATTTATAGAAAAAAACAATCAAATTTTATACATTTAACATAAATTTTAGCTTCAAAATCTTAGAATATAGATTAGTATAGGAATTTATTCTGCCTGCTGATTAATTTCTGCCTGCAGTAAAAAGAAAATACGTTTTAAACTTACCTTAAGTGGTCTGGTTACAGTAAGAGTTTCGATAGTGGTCAGTTGAGGCATTCTATTTGCACTGTAATAAAAAAAAATTTGTAACTGAAAGAAAAACGGTGCAAAGGTTTCTATATAAACAATTTTCAAATTATTGTGCTTAAAGAAAAAGTAAAACGCTACAGTAGAACTTCATTTGTAAGAACGTTTATAAAAATAAATTTGTGCTCAAATGTATAAATCCTAGTACAACTGATCTTAGTTCAGATAATAAGATCTCGACATGCTTGTCTTCAGTTTCGAACATCAGCTCCTATTATCAGAACAAATATTAGTAGAGATCTGTTGAGCTTCTATTATTCAAACTATTCAGTTATCGGAACTGCCCTGTCTCTTGACATATTCATATAAATGGAATTCTATTTCACTAGGGGAGGACTATGTATTAAGAAATCAAAAACTTCATTCGGAATATTCAAAACCAAAAATATAATATAATACCAAAGATAAATATTTAAAATAATCTATTAGGACGTTCATGGATTTCAAAAACTATGTAGAAAGACTGTTTTAGATCAAATACAGATTTAATCACAATCTTACATTACAAATATAACACAGACTTTAAATGGCATTTATGTATTCTTATTATTCATATACAGAATTAAATTTGAATAATGCGACAGTAAAACTTAATATCTAATAGCTAGTTTATATATTTATATTTTTCTAATATCTGATTCAATATATATTTTTTATGGAATATTTGCAGTCAAATCTAAGAATGTTTGAATTTTCAAAAGATCGATCTTTCTAAATAACAATAGCGATTTTAAACTGATCTATTTTTGCGAAAAATTGATTTTTCTAACTAAAAGGGACTATTTTAAACCAATTTCTTCGCAAAATATCGCTTCTTTTTTAACAAATTGATCCAGAAATTGCACATTCTTAGTCAGATCCCTAAAATTGTTTCAAAATTGAATTATAAAATTTCAGAGAAAAAAAGCTATTGATTTCTCGGAGATACTGCTTTAAATATTTTACATACTTATATGATTAATTGTATTTGAAAACATGCAATTTGTGTGTATACAGAACGGATATTAAGTACATACTATAAAAGATTTTAAGGGGATCCTAAACCAACACGAATTATCAACAATTGCAGATTGTCTATCAACAATTGCAGATTCTCCGAATTGGCTTTGTAGATCACCAAATCCTTTAATAGAATAAAAGTATGTACAAAAAACACCAGCCGTATTAAATTTGACAAGAAAATCATGGAAAAATTTAAAATTTCACTTTATTTCAACTCTCACAGCTGTCACCATATAATTCCCTTTGTGTAGAAATTCTATAAGTTCTACGTACCAAATATCTTCCTCGGAAGTGCATGACACGCACAATCCTGTTGAGTTTGATGATAAATTGTGGCTAAAGACCTAACAAAAAAATTTTCCAAAATTAAAGTCGTATGATAAGAGTAAAAGTCGTATGTTTATAAATAAACATAAAAAAATTGATTAAAAATCGTGAAATACTCAATATATTTTATTACTATTAGATAAAATATGTATTTCATAATTCGAAATATTTGCATTTTATTTTTATACTCAAATTAAATCATATAACACAGATTTAGTATGCACCTGTGCGCTCAGATTTAATATCCACTAGTACTTCCAATCGAATTCGCCGTTAATTACACCTTTTACATTTAATCTATTTGTTCTCTTCCTGAAAAATTTGAATTCAAGTTAAAGCATGCAAGAAATATAAGGCCTGTTTTCTGTGGCTGAACTAATATACACTTTTGGAACTTAAAGTGAGACAGATATAAGTTTGATTTGTTTAAAACAAGAAAGACAGAACAGTTTAGTGCAGGAGCAGAAAATAGACCAATAATTAACCCTTAAGCCTATTCTACAATGTGTTCTTTGTTTCCTGTTTTTGTTTTTTATCTTTTGTTTTTTTTTCCTTTGCAATCATTTTATCGACAATTGTATTTCTTGCTTCTTTCATGTTTCTTGTTTCTTTCGAAGTTCATTAATTTTTAAGCTAATTCTACAATATGTCCTTTTATCTGTTTCTTGTTGTTTGTCTCTTGCCTTTTTGGTCAATAAGACAAGAGACAAAGTAAGAAATAAAAAACAAAAAGCACATTGTAGAATTAGCCTTATCTCGGGCGATATAAAACAAAAAACCGGATAAAAAACAAAAAAACAAGATGTAAATAATAGTAAAAAGAAACAGGGAACAAAAAGCACATTATAGAACAGACTTTACAAAGTCAAGTCACTAAGCGATTCCTGTTTGTGCAAATTTTTTTGAGTCTTTCGGTAATTATAAATTATACTACATTTTATTATTTTCCAAAATAAAGTTTCAATATTTATTCTAAAAAATTGAAAATATCCCAAACGAGAATGGATTAAAATGAATTGAAATGGATTCAATTTTCAGAAATATTGATTCACGAATGTTAAAATAAATGCTTTTCAATCCTGAATGCATTTATTCATTTATAGGAATTATGGAGCATATTTCTATATCTTTCAATCTAAAAATAATATTATTATTATAATATTAGCTTTTTCTGTGCAACAATACGTACAAAACACACATTGTGAATACTGTTCAATTCCAAATTTTGAATAGGAAATATAGTTTTTCAATCCAATTGCATTCAATTGAATTTAATTAAATCCAAAAAAATTATTCACTATTTATAATATATATATATAGTTTCTTTCATCTATTCAGAATGGTTAAAAAATCTTTAAAAATTCATCAACATCCCAGCAAACGAGAATGGATTAAAATGGATTGAAATTT